TCCACACTGCAAGGGCCCTGAGTTAGGACCTGGCTGAGTGGGGGTAGGCCTGCTCCCCACACTTGCTTGTCCTATCTCCTCTGTCTAGCAACAGTCCCCTTGGTGCTGGCCATTAGGCCATGCTGCCCTTCAACGGAGGGCTATTTTATGGATTTTGGCTGTTAGGCTGTACTGTCCTCGGAGGAGGGGAGGGGAGACAGACTGACCTCGGTCACTGATAGATAGTAGGATATGGTGCGTGTATCAGTTTTGAATGTAACAACTGTAATTGAGTGGAAATGTAACAACCTTGCTCAGATGAGTTCATAATATGTATGCCTGTGCCTTAAATTGTGGAGACCCATTACTATAACATCTGTCAATCAAAGGGTAACTGTCAATCAATTGGGGAGCCATGGCTCAAGTAAGATATGTCACGTACCACATGTCTTGCATGTATAATGTTTACCTGTCTGTTCATATTTGAAATTTACCTGTTAAGTTCGATGTTAATTTGTTATGGTCCCCTGACCAATAGGTTTAAAATTATGCATATGAGCATTCCAATTTGACCAATCATTTCAAAGTGGAATGCTCATGAATATTCATTAGCTCACCTTTTATAAGTCCACGCAATGGTGGTTGAAGCGTTGCATCGGGGCGTCGAGCTTAGTTAGGTTGAGCATCCCAGCCTAGGCTCTTCTCTTAAGGATAGACGGAAGGTCTATTCCCTACCTTAGGTTTTAGATAGGGTTAGTTAGGTTAGCTATTGTTGAGTCTGTCCGTCAGGTTCGCGTCAGTCCTCTCACGTCGGCCATCGTTGAGCTTGTCTGGCGGGCGCGTCGCGACTTAGTTAGTTTTCCTTTTAGTCAGGTTAGGGTAGCTTAGAATAGGTATTCTACCATCGTCTGTTCCAGCGGCGCCAAAGAGCCTGAAGAATCGCGCTTCGCAGAAGGTGAAGTCAGCATTTCTTCTCAGATCTTCGTGGGACGCCTGGCTGTTCCTCTCCTGAGGCCCGAAGGACCAACGGATTAAGGTCGCCAGCTTTGACCCTGAGACATCCGTCGAGGGACTCCTGGCTGTTCCTCACCTGAGGCCCGAAAGGACCAAAGGCTCGTAGGTCGCCAGCACCTCAACAATCGTCCCTGCGCCATAAGACTTTGTGTTTTCTTTCCTCTTTGGGACTTCCCTAAGGAGTGTATGTTCAATTATTATTTCTTTGTTAATATAGTCCTGTGGTTTTAAAATCTAAACAAATTGTAGGTTTTTATTTCTGCACCAGTTCCACAGACTACACGGTGAATAGATACGTGAGAGGGTCCGCATCTGTAATCTCCCAATAGGTTAATTAGGTGATTGGCTAGTTACCAATTAGGAAACACCGTTACCTTATGCGTGTCCAAGTAACAATAGTAGTGGCGTTCGTACACTCTGTGACCCCAAATACTGCCACAGAGAGACGGGGCAGAAAGGCCCCTTTAGATATGCCTCACAAGAGCTGAAATACAGCCTAAGATCAGCCTGGCACAAAGACATTCTAACCACATCCTCATTTCTCCAGCCATGCCACCTTTTATCCTTTTCCCCAAGCAGCCGAGAAGGTGAATGGGACAGAATCCCCTGTGTCAACTATAAACTAATGGGAGATCACCCATTAAAGGATATGGAGTCTTTGTTTTCTAGATCATCAGTCCAGATCCATCCAAAGTCTGTAGCATTTAAATAATTTTCATTATGGGCTTATGCAAAATAAGTTAGTGGCCTCAGTCTGTAACCAGTAGACGGCCATGCTAAAACTAAAGCTCTGCAGTGTGGTAACTTGGGGTCTGTCTGCATAGAGAAAATCCTTATATGGACACTTTTTTGGAATACGTGGCCTCTTTTGGTTATTCGGTTCCTCTTTCGAAACTTTAGTGTAGTCTAGACATAGCTTTAGCGTTATTTCAAAATAACTTAGACCGCATCTACACAGTAGGAAGTTCTTTTGAAATAGTGTCAAAATACTGTCAAGCTGGAGAACTTCTTACTCTGACTCTGCCCCCAGCCCTAGGAGGAAGGCCTCCCCCTTCCTCTTCACAATGTTGTGGAGGACACAACATGCCACGACCACCTCGGGGATGTTGTGCTCCCCCACATCCAGACGGGTCAGACGGCACCTTGAGGCAGCCAAAGGCACACTCCACTTGAATCCTGGTCCAGTTCAGCTGGACATTAAATTGGTCCCTGATGGGATTCAGGTGGCCGATATCGGCTTCATCAACCACAGCATGAGGGGGTAGGCCACGTCCCCCATGATGCAGAGTAGCATCTGCATGTTCCTAACAGCAAGTTCACGGCAGGAAAAAAATATGCCTGCCTCCAGCTTGTGGTACGGGCAGGAGTTTCTGAAGACTTGGGTATCATGTGCCCTACCTGACCACCCGACAAAAATGTCTGTAAAGTGTCCCTGGTGATCGACTAGGGCCTGCTGCGCCATTGAAAAGTAGCCTTTCTGATTAACATACTGGGCCGCTCGATGGTCCAATGCACGGATCGGGATGTGGGTAGTCAGAAAAAGCACATGATGCATGTGTGTTCAGGAACTCTAGCGTCTGCTATAAGCTGCAAGCTGGGTCTTTCTTCTCTGACCACCACATCAGGGTCGGGGATATGGACATGTCTGTATGCCTGGTGGGGGATGTGGCCTATCCCCTGCAGCCATGGCTCATGAAGCCATACACTGGCCACCTCAACCCTTCACAACAGGCATTTAATGCCAGACTGAGAAGGGTCCACATGGTGGTTGAGGGTGCCTTTGGCCGCCTGAAGGCACATTTTAGATGCCTCCTCACCCACCTGGTCCTCGGGGAGCACAATATTCCTCACGTGGTAGCTGTGTCCTGAACAATGTGTGTGAGAGGAAGGGGGAGACCTTTCTGCCAAGGTGGGGGACGGAGGTGTACCGCTCAGGCAGGGCCTATGAGCAGCCGTTCACGGCTACAATCCGGCAGGCCCATCAGGTGGCTGTGCACATACAGGAGGCCTTCCCTTGTCGAATAATCATGTAGTCGATACAAATTGTATTGTCTACATGATTAGCCAATTACCTGCCCCTTAACATCCTTATTTGGGAAAACCCACTGGCTTTTTCATGAACCATCCATGTCTTAAAATTATTGTAACCATTATTATTGGTTTTGGAAAGTAGCTACTGAGATGGATCTAAGAAGTGAGGTATGTGGATTATTTTTGCTAAGTTCAGAGAAGAATTTACCATTCTCTCTCATCTAAGTCTTTTGTTGAAATTACTGGGGCCATTAAACAATACCATCTAGGAAACTGCTACAACAGTATTAAATCTTTGTTTCCTCTAGATAGCCTTTACAGATGATGGTCTTATATAACATTGACAATTGAGTGGAATGAGGCATTACCAGCAATGGGATTGCTATGTGATCAGGACAGAATAGAAAATTTGAACATGGAGGCTATGTCTACACTCGCGGCTTCTTGCGCAAGAACATCTTGCGCAAAAGTTCTTGTGCAAGAAGTCTTGCGCAAGAAAACGTCCACACTGCCATGTGCGCGCTGTGCTTTTGCGCAGGAGCTCCCATGGCAGTGTGGACACTCTCTTGTGCAAGAAAGCTCTGATGGCCATTTTAGCCATAGGGCTTTCTTGAGCAAGAAATCCCTGCCGAGCGTCCACACTGCCTTCTTGCGCAAGAGCTCCTGTGCAAGAGGGCTTACACCTGTTAAAAAAGAGTGTAGCTCTTGCGCAAGAAGCCCTCTCTTACCACGCCGTACTGTAAATTTCCTTGCACAAGAGTGGGCGGGCAGTGTAGACGCCCTGCGGATTCTTGCGCAAGAATGGCCTTGAAAAACTTGTTTATCACAACTGGTGGTTGAACCCAATCTGTGTGCTGTTTCCTGGGATAAAAGCCATAGGAATTAATCTCTTGCTACTCCAAGTGACAATAGCTACAGCTGAATGATCATTGAGTGTTCTTACACTAGTTACCTTCTACCTGACCAAGACCATGTCATGGGGCAGGACTACTCAACTTTGGAAGTCCCGGGGGGGCCACAATGATACTCACAGCACATGCCGAGAGCTGCAACTTAAGTGTGGTTGTATATACATACAAATATAGATACAAATCTTTTCTCACACTGATAGACATGAATACAAAGCACTTTCCACAATGCCTGGGCGCTCCCGGCACCTCCTCTGTGGGGCCTAGATATGCCGATACCCTGTACCCGTCTGCTCTAGCCATCCTGTCCACTTGCATCTTTCAGCGCTCACCCCGCCTGGGAGACGCCTTGCTGTTATGGAGTGTGTTCCAGTGGAGGCCATGTTCAAAGGGCTGTGTGCATAAACCCAAACTGCACTGTGGGCTGCAAACAAATGGGCCGCGTGTTGAGTAGCCCTGTCACGGAGGCTTGGAAATGCCAACACAGGAAAAGCCACTAAAGACGAAGGCGGTGCACTGGAGCAAGTCACAAACTGGAGGGTGCAACGCTGCAAGGCACCAGGAAGGGGGGAGCTGTTTCGCAGTGAGTTGGGGTGGCCAACTTGCCTCTGGGAGATCATTTCCAAATATGAGCTACAGCTGCTGAACGGGACGGGAGACACTTTCCTGTTTTACTCTCCAGCAAATTCAAACACCCCCTCCCCCCCATTTAAAATCCTGGGGACACCAACACATCCCAGCATAGCTCCTGCTCCCCCCGCCCACACTCAGCACGCCCGGTAGCCGCAGCACTCGCTGCGCGGGGCCA